ATATTCTTTGTGGCTAGAGAGGCATTGTTTCCCTTCTTGTATTCAAACAGCATTACATGCTGAATATGTGTGTGTGTCTCGTCATGTGCCATCACTATAAAGGATTAGAGTATAATAAACTTTGCACATTATATAGGCTACACTAACATGATGTTTAGGCAGTTCATTTAACTATTATATGTGATGTATAATTTTTGGGGGGTGATTAATGAAAGTGTTTCGAAAATCGACTTTAATTTTTTGACAACCTAATATATCTAATGTAACAGTAACATAATATTGGGGATATATCTGATTCACCCTGTTGTAATGAAGCATTCATTTTATATCTAGTTCAACCTTGCTGTAACAGTAACGTAACATTGGGGATATATCTGATTCACCCTGTTGTAATGAAGCATTGATTTTATATCTAGTTCAACCTTGCTGTAACAGTAACGTAACATTGGGGATATATCTGATTAACCCTGTTGTAATGAAGCATTGATTTTATATCTAGTTCAACCTTACTGTAACAGTAATATAACATTGGGGATATATCTGATTCACCCTGTTGTAATGAAGCATTGATTTTATATCTGGTTCAACCTTACTGTAACAGTAATGTAACATTGGGGATATATCCGATTAACCCTGTTGTAATGAAGCATTGATTTTATATCTGGCTCAGTCTGATTGTAATGTTAACATAGCATTGATGATATATCTGTTTGAGTCTGGTTGCAACATTACTATAACATTGATGATATATCTGGTTCAATCTGGTTGTGACATTAACATACCATTAGTGAAGTATCTCGTTCACATGAGCATGTTATAATTATATAATTCTACTCTAAGCAATAGACAATAGGGAATTCTGCATACTTTAATTATGAATGTGGTGAAAATACAGATGGATTTTATGGATACAAGCTTGTTTAAAATAATAATCAAACTGTGTGTCTCATACCTAAAGAAACATAAAACATTTCTGTCATATTGAGAATGCAAACCTAGACAGGAGTGTTTCATAACAGAAGAAATGGCTATTTGAAATGTACTTCTTACATGTAAAGGGAGTAAACGTTACGTTACACAAAAGGTGTAACCCATAAATAAATACTTACAGTAACAATAGCCAAAAACCACTGTATGTCTCTTGTTTCTTCAGAACTAATGAAGTGTAGGTAAAATTTATCAGGGTTATGAAATTAATTTAACGAGGTAGTGGAACCCAAGTGTTTAAACACCAAATGTTGTCTCAAAGATATTTTTTCTTTCAGTTCCTATAACTATCCTCACTACTACATATTTGTAGAATCAAAACAGTTATCAGGTATTCATGGATTTCGTAAAAACTAAAATCTCTAGAAATATTCGCCAATCTTCAGTTCCTCTAATAATTGGTTATATTTTCTTTATGAAATTAAGGTTTTTTTCTTCTCTGAAATGGAATTAGTACAAGTTAAATGCTTCAATGTAGAATTTAATTTATAAAATTTATTGATATAGTGTTTATAAAAATCACAAGCAAAATTGTTATTGGAAGCAGAATAAAAAAAATGTGTGTAAATAGATTTTTGTAAATCCAATGGCTTTCTTCCTCAGTCTGGAATATTCAGAGTTCATCATGCTAACAATACAGTGATTGTCAAAAAAATAAACAACATTAAATGGTGTTACACAGTAGAATAACCCTAAAAGCATAAGTCATTAATAGAAGTAAACAATACTTTAAGTTGTGATATACAGCAAAATAACACTAAAAATATAACAGTTATCAAGATAAGTAAACAAGAGTTTAAGTTGTGATACACAGCAGAATAACCCTAAAAACATAATAGTCATTAATAGAAGTAAACAACAGTTTAAGTTGTAATACACAGTAGAATAACCCTAAAAACATAATAGTCATTAATAGAAGTAAACAACACTTTATGTTATGATATACAGCAGAAAAACCCTAAAAACATAATAGTCATTAATAGAAGTAAACAACACTTTAAGTTATGATATATAGCAGAATAACCCTAAAAACATGACAGTTGTCAAGATAAGTAAACAACAGTTTAACTTGTGATACAAAGTAGAATAACCCTAAAAACATAATAGTCATTAATAGAAGTAAACAACACTTTATGTTATGATATGCAGCAGAATAACCCTAAAAACATGACAGTTGTCAAGATAAGTAAACAACAATTTGAATTGTGATATACAGCAGAGTAACCCTAAAAACATGACAGTCATTAATAGAAGTAAACAACAGTATAAGTTATGATACAAAGTAGAATAACCCTAAAAACATAACAGTTGTCAAGATAAGTAAACAACAGTTTGAATTGTGATATACAGCAGAGTAACCCCAAAAACATGACAGTCATTAATAGAAGTAAACAACAGTATAAGTTATGATACAAAGTATAATAACCCTAAAAACATAACAGTTATCAAGATAAGTAAACAACAGTTTGAATTGTGATATACAGCAAAGTAACCCTAAAAACATGACAGTCATTAATAGAAGTAAACAACAATATAAGTTGTGATATACAGCATAATAATAACCCTAAAACATAACAGTTGTCAAGATATGTAAACAGTGTTTTAAGTTGCAATATATGGTACAATAACTGAAAATATGGCAATTGTTGAGAAAAGTAAACAACAGTTGAAGTGGAATATTCAGAAGAATATCTTTTAAGAAGATAGTACTTCAACATGTTATTGTTGTTTGTGTTACCAATAAATGAACAGGCTTTATGTTCAGTGTTTGGAGGTCATCTTACAATATGTAATGAAGACCCTTCTATACTTGTTGTCATGAGTAGTAGCCAATTACCAAAGAAAGAGTAAACACAGGAGTTATGAAGAAACTTGAATTTAAATTTTGACAACCATCCTTGTTAATATTACAGCTTATCTGGAAAGTCTATCTTATGACTTGATAATTTTGTGATTTCAGATTTTGTGTTGAGGTTCTTCAGGCCATCTCCTCCCCTCAGGAAACTGTACTTCAGAAGCTGCAGGAAGTCTTTGCATACTTAAAACTTACTCAGGTGAACTTCAAAAACAAAAACTTTCATTAGTTTTAGCCTGTGGAATCTCTTCAGCATACTCTATATATGTTTATTAATGTGAAACATGCTATAACAAGATAGTATTAAGAAATTAACTTTCGTAAAAACAATGATCCAAACCTTTTATAATTTATTCAATTTTTATCATGATGTAAAGAGTAATGAAATTCTTTGTTTGCAGTTATTCTTAAACCAACCAGATTTAAAATTTCATTACATTATTTGTATGACCTTTTAAATGTATCTTGTGTTTGAGATTTTTCATTCTAACTTGCTGTCAGAAGTAAGACTGACATTATGGCAAGAAGTAGGACATTACCATTAGAAGTAAGACATAAGAGTAAAAGTAAAACATCACATCAAGAAGTAGGACATTACATTAAGAAGTAAGACATAAGAGTAAAAAGTAAAACATCACATCAAGAAGTAGGACATTACATTAAGAAGTAAGACATCATGGTAAGTTACAGTGAGTTTGGAATAAGTAATGAATACTCTGGTTAGAAAAACATGGGACTTGTTTTACACTTAAAGTTTATAACATAGGCAGATGTGAGGCTATGAAAAATTTAAAGGTTTGGAATTTGGGAGTATATTAAGGTTTAGCAATTGATTTTACAGAAATATAAATCATTTTTGTTAGTTTTTTCCCTCCCTTTTTTTTTCTAGAGACCGGCTGTCTCTCCATCTGATTTTCTTTATGTCTCTAAACCTGCTTGGTTTGAACCAGGGGATCAGCAGGATTGTTCTGAGTTCCTGCGATTTCTCTTGGACCAAATAGAAGAACAGCAAAAGAGTGTTCCCAGTATTATCTCAGATTCTGTTAGCAAAACAGACATTTGTAAATACAGGCAGTCCCTTGTTAACAAAGTTTTTGGTGGCCTTATAACAACATGTTATACATGTATGATGTGTACAAAGTCTTCTATTCATGAAGATGTTTTTACAGATCTGCATATAGCTTTTCCTGAAGAACATTGTAAAGCTGTACAGGATCAGCCAGTGTATCAAACACGTTCTACTGCAAAGTGTCCAGATGTCTTATCGGATGAACCAGAAGGAAAGCAGTCTTTGTCCCTTGAGAATCTAGTATGGAATTACTTTCAAACTGAGAAGCTCCAAGGGGATAATCAGTACCACTGTGATAACTGTGGGAAACTTTCAGATGCTGAGAGAACAGTATTAGTAACAGATCCCCCAGAACACTTAGTTCTTTCTCTTCTAAGGTTTGCTTACAGTACCTCAACCCAATCTAGAAGGAAGTTTTTTACAAATGTCACTTGTCCACAAGTGTTGAAGTTGCCCATAGATAAGAATACTGAAGTTTTGTACAGTCTGTATGCTGTAGTGGTCCACTCCGGAGTGTCTGCAGAGTCAGGTCACTATTACACATATGCTCAATCATCCGAAATTGAGTCAGAGACAGACAGGTGGTATCTGTTCAATGACAGCCATGTCTCTTTCTCATCCTATAAATCTCTTAGTAATCTCAGCAAGAGATTTCCTAGAGACACAGCCTATGTGTTATTTTATAGAAAACAACCTCTAACTGAAAGGATACAACCACATTTGAAGGAAGAACTACGGGAAATGGTAGCTAAAGATAATGCTAATTTCCTGCTGGTAAGTTATTTACATAATTCTCTCTCAAATTTAATACATAGGCATGATATTATAAATAAAGTAGAAATGAAATCTTTTAAAAAGTGTAAAATATCATACTGCTTCACAATAATGTGGCTTCATCATTTACCTGATGTATTATGATATTTTACTTTCTTTTTAATATATAATTGTAGTTGTTTTAGCTTTTCAAACATGTCATTTGTTTTGATGTAAATATTAAATGTTCCATGAGTAGCTTTTAGATGTTATTGTTAGTGTTGTGTAAAGATTATGCTAGCATTAATTAGGCATAGTTTTAGGAATTTTCTATATTGAAAATATTATATACAATTTAGCAATGTATAATATTAACCCATTCAAGTGAGTTAGTTCTACAAGTGAAACAAACACATAGTTTAGAATCCAAACAATGTGTGATTAAAGCTAGTTGGAACCATAATTTTTTGTAATAAATTAATTTCATATAATTACCACCTATAATACATGGTTCTCTAGTATGTTTTATGAGGTTTATGACAAGTAAGTTTGTTGTAACAAACTTATTTCTATATCTTCAGTTAATTAGCTTTTTCATATTACTCTGGATTAATTGCATTTTTTAAGAATGATGTTCCAGGTCATGCAATGCTTTTGGAACTACTACATTCATCATTAATCATGCTCATTCTGATGGCCATGATTACACATTTTCTAATAAGCTTATTTCAAGATGGTGAGCCAATCTTAGACCCCACCTCTTTACACAGTCTCTACTGTATTATCATTGATTTTGAAGATATCAGTGGCATGAAAGTCCATTTGAGCTCCATCAGAGAATTGACAGCTATGTTGTTGAATAAGATTACTACAATTTTAATTTACTTTCTTATGAAAACAATCATTAATTTTCAGGTTTGACTGGAAGCTATTGAGGCACCAAATTTTTGTTTAGTATCTTGAGAGATGCCTGGGTTTATCACATTGGCTTGATGAGTCAGGGGCTGTCTTTTGTAACCATAGCTTTTACTTTCCACTTGAAGTTCATTGGTTCTGATAGGCTTGAAGCAAGTCACTTTTCTGAATGCTCTTTTATGCTAGTTTTTATTTCCAGAGAACACCGAAGACTTCTTTTTTTTTAAATATTATGTTGTTTGACCACAGATCATTTAATAACCTCACTATAAAAAAGGGGCTGTGACATATTTCTCCACCCATAAATCTTCATCACATAACTAGGAATTTGCTATGAACAATTAGGTAGATGCTAAAATATTGCCTGTGCCTTGCATCTGTATAGCTTAGTTAGGATGGAAGCAAATAACTTATAATTAGATTTTCTACTAAACTGTGGTTAAATTTAATGTTGTTCACTCTTGAACAAATAGCCTTGTTGTGGTTTGGATGAATGCTGGTTAAGCTTATACAAGTCTTTATTCCACTAATGTATGGTAAGGTTAAATAATGGTCAGGTTTGAATTAGTTTTCATCCTAAATTCTGTACAGTTTGTTGTTGAACTACGTTTTCATCCTACATCCTAAATATATCATGTTTGAATTATTTTTAGGCTACATCCTGTATAGGTTGTGTTTGAACTAGTGTTTCTTGCTACATCCTGTATAGTTTGTGCTTGAGACTGCTAATATAAGTGATTGCTTCTTTTAAAAAAGTTATAGACATTAGTACTAAATACAGGAGCTATAGACATTCCTAGCTGCTCTTTCAAGATTATGTCATGATCAGCATTATTAAATTACTTGGGACTTTTGTTGTGAGTGAACTACTGATGCAGGATGAAGAACTGAGATGTATCTACTCTAGCATCACCATATACATCCTGGGTGCCTGTTCTACTGTTTACTAACATGACTTCTGGCACTGTGACCAACATTCTACAAATGCAGTGATGGTGCTTAAACTCTGTTATCAACAACATGTTGTACAGAGTTTTGTTGTTGTACTTCCCTACCACTGAAATGTTTGTGGTTATACTCTCTACTGTCAGCAACTTATAGTCCTGGGTTTTAAAATTAACCTTATAGTCTTACCTCTGTATCATTGTCTACTGTCAACAATTATTTAATGATTGTCACAATGTTAACAACTCATCATGCAGAATTTTCCCTATGATAACCTTGATGTAACATTGTACTCTTAATATTATTTCTCACCTAGTGAAGTAGTGACCTTTCCAAGATTGGTACTATGATGTGTCCTGTGTTCATTAGATGAGCATATTTCTCTTGCTGCTTGCTTGAAGGAAGGAATCTTTTCAGTTTTTTCTTATTTAGAAATATTGTTTTTTCCTTCTTTTTTGGATGAACATATTGTTTTTATTCTTTGTTTGAGCACAAAGATCTGGAAAAGTAGCTGTTTTGGAGATATTGAATGTTTCCCACAGTTCTTCAAGCTGCAAGACTGGATGTTTTAGAGATATTGAATGTTTCTCACAATTCTTCAAATTTTAAGACCGGATGTTTTGGAGGTACTGAATGTTTTCCAAAGTTCTTCAAATTGTATGACTAGGTGTTTTGGATTCTGACTAAGAAGTTAGCACACAGGATCACATACAAAAGTTGTAATATTTTTCAAACGAGACCCAATAGTCAAGCTTTCGAATAGTTGAATATTTCTCACAGTTCTTCAAGCTGCAAGACTAGCTGTTTTGAGTGAATTGATAATGAAGACTTTTGTATTGCACTGTTCTAGTTGACTTTTTATTTGGTTGTGGTTGATTTTATATTTTCCATAACTGTAAAAGACAGTGTAGTTGGAAAGAGCACAAGAAGGTTAGAAGTGACTATATAGTCATGCTTGACATGTAGACTCCTAGAGCATATGTAGCACAAACTTGCCTTGAGTAAATTGTTTGGAAAGGTGTTATATTTCATAGGCGGAAGTTTTTAAGAAACTAATTCTGCTTATAGTTCAAATGCTTTAAACGTGTAAGTAGTTTAGTTGAAGGAAACACTGTTAGTAAAAGTTTTTGTATAAGATACAGAAGCATACTTTTTTTTGACTTATGAGTGTTTTTGTATAATTAGTTTTATAGTAAGTCATTTTTATTTTATTCTGACAAGTTTCAAAACAATAAAAAATGTAAATTATTTCTGATTCTGCATAGGAAGTGGAGTTAAAGTCAAAAAAACAGCAAGAGAAGATACTAAAAAATTGGACTTCTAACTGGAAAGATGATGATTCTCCACCTCCTGCTGGGGGTTGTGGTGGGGGGTTAGGATTAGGTGGCATGGGTGATATAGTGAATCGTTTTGTGTTTTGAAATGAAAGCTGAATAATGTATAAAATAATTAAAAAAGTTACAAAAATTCTTAGATGTTGGTCTTGTATTTTATAACGTGTCGGAAACTTACTAAACACCATCATTGTATATGGATAAGAATATTAAAACATCAATATATAACAAACACAGTAACACTGAAGATATTAAAACATCAATATATAACAAACACAGTAACAATGTTTGAAAATTATGTAAAAGATACTCTTAACCCAATGACTACCAGCTACTAACTTTCTGAGTAGCCAATGTAAGTCTTGCTATATTTCATTCCAAGAATAAAGCTAGTGGATGAAACTGTTTGAAACTTCATAAGAACTTTCATAAATGCATGTAGTTTAAGAAACATAAAGTCTGTTACTTTTGATAAATTTAGTTTTTTTGCATTATGATCTCTAATATCTTGGAAAATTACATTAGGGAAATGGTATGTATAAGAAATGATGGACACAGTTTATTTGTATTGATTTGTTTTAGAAGTGAACAAGTAATTACTATTCTCAACACATGATGGACACAGTTTATTTCTATTGATTTGTTTTAGAAGTGAACAAGTAATTACTATTCTCAACACATGATGGACACAGTTTATTGCTATTGATATGTTTTAGAAGTGAACAAATTACTATTCTTGACACATGATGGACACAGTTTATTTCTATTTACTTGTTTTGGAAGTGAACAAGTAATTACTTTTCTCAACACATGATGGACACAGTTTATTTCTATTGATTTGTTTTAGAACTGAACAAGTAATTACTATTCTCAACACATGATGGACACAGTTTATTGCTATTGATATGTTTTAGAAGTGAACAAATAATTACTATTCTCAACACATGATGGACACAGTTTATTGCTATTGATATGTTTTAGAAGTGAACAAGTAATTAATATTCTCAGCACAT